GAAAATCCTGGATCTGCTCCCCTATAATGTTTGTTACTTTTGTTTCAGGGCCAGCATGATTTTTGACCCTTTCTACGACATGCTACAGACAAGAAAGAAAAAAGTCACACAAGCAGTTTACAGTTAACGAGGATACAATACAATACTGGTGTGATACATATTCCAATAATATAGGCCTACTTGTAGGGTGTGGTCCTGACGCTACTCCACCCAATAATACCCCAATACTGTACATCCAAAAGGATGTAAAAATCATTCTATCAATCAATCAAAGCAACGTTCCAATACTTGCACTGACAGTAGTTGTAAATAGATTCCTGTTTCCCATTTCAGACCATGTGTCATTCTCTAGAGTATTATTTCTTTGTTTAACAGTTGCACATGAGAGGACACATTAGTATCGATACAACTAAATCAAAGAATCTTGGTCCCAAGAGAATGGCACATGATCTGAAATGGGTAAATATTACGTCTAGGTGGATATTAAAGGTCCACTAATGTAGAGAAAACAGGAACCAATGTCAAAATGACTTGCAAGACTGCTATTGTAAATATGCCTTGATATCCCAGTAAGTCGAGCTCAATGTGAAAGAAATATTTTGATTATTACCAATGGAATAGAATTCATTTTTTCAGTCCATTCCTCGTTGCATGTCTTGTAAATGCACGTTTTTTATATATTTTGGTTTTCATCCAAATGAACCAACTGAGGATGTCTTGTCGAGATGATATTTCCAAATTTAAACTTTCATCTATTCTCAAAAGAGTAATTTTTGTAATTTTGTTAAGATTGTATTTTTTCTTTTAATCAAACCGATGAAATTTTAGTCAAAATAAATGGTATTTGATAAGTGTTGTTGTGTAGTTTTTAGTGTCTGTATACCATCACATAAAACACCATATGCATAGGTTGTATAACCCATTTTATTACCAACTACAAAACATTTTTAGGAGGGTAGTATACTGACAATAATGACAGCAAAAAGATGAAAGACTCGTTCTCTAACTAAAACATTTACAGGATTTATAAACATGATACATGCAAGGTGCAATCTGGACTTAAAATCAGTTACATTGCCATTAAGATGCAATTGAACCTGATTGGCAGTCACTCGGGGATGCTGTACTCGAGCCATCTTAAAAGCATTTTCTGTGGACAATGGCTGGGCCAGATTCATCATATTCTTGCTTGGAGATCCACATCTGTTGGAAGGTGGACAGAGAAGCGAGGATGGAGCCTCCGATCCAGACAGAGTATTTCCTCTCTGGTGGAGCGATGATCTTGATCTTCATAGTCGATGGTGCTAGGGCAGCTATTTCCTTCTGCATGCGATCAGCAATACCAGGGTACATGGTAGTTCCACCAGACAAGACAGTGTTAGCATACAGATCCTTACGGATATCGACATCACACTTCATGATGGAGTTGTATGTTGTCTCATGTATTCCACTAGATTCTAATCCCAGTGAGGAGGGTTGGAACAATGCTTCTGGGCATCGGAATCTCTCGTTGCCAATGGTGATGACTTGTCCGTCGGGAAGCTCATAGCTCTTCTCAAGACTTGAGCTGGAAGCTGCAGTCTGCATTTCTTGTTCAAAGTCAAGAGCAACRTAGCAGAGCTTCTCCTTGATGTCACGTACGATTTCACGTTCAGCTGTGGTGGTGAAAGAGTAACCACGTTCTGTCAGGATCTTCATCAAGTAGTCAGTCAAGTCACGTCCAGCCAAGTCAAGACGGAGGATAGCGTGAGGAAGAGCATAACCCTCATAGATCGGTACAGTGTGAGTGACACCATCTCCAGAGTCCATGACAATACCAGTGGTACGACCAGAGGCATACAGGGACAAGACAGCCTGGATAGCTACGTACATAGCAGGGCTGTTGAAGGTCTCAAACATGATCTGGAAAATGAAATATGAAGTAAGCTTTTGAAGAAAAGCAAGAATATTTTTGGGCAAATCCCTACGTGAAGCAGAAGGCTTTACCATTTCTTATATGAAGAAACTCTCGCTTACCTGTGTCATTTTTTCACGATTGCCTTTTGGATTCAATGGTGCTTCGGTAAGAAGTACTGGATGCTCTTCTGGTGCCACACGAAGTTCGTTGTAGAAAGTGTGATGCCAAATCTAGACAAACCCAAGAAAGAAAAAGAGCGTCAGCTAGCCATGCTGAACTCAAACATTCAATGTCTGCAACRACAGTACAAGCGTTAAGTTGTTCTAAGCGAAAAAATCTACCTTTTCCATGTCATCCCAGTTGGTGACGATTCCATGTTCAATGGGGTATTTCAGGGTGAGAATACCTCTCTTGCTCTGGGCCTCATCTCCAACGTACGAGTCTTTTTGACCCATACCAACCATTACGCCTTGATGGCGAGGTCTACCAACGATGGAGGGGAAAACTGCTCGTGGAGCATCGTCTCCAGCAAAACCAGCTTTGCACATACCAGAACCATTATCGATCACCAAGGCTGCAATGTCGTCGTCTGCCATTTTCAAGGTTTAGAGTGAAAAAAGAGTTAAAATATTCAAACAAGTCAACGAAATTTGCTTCAACTCTGCCGTGTCTGTAAGTGAAAGCATGCGGCCGTCACTCGCCTTATATATCACATGATACATTACCTTATATGGGCATGGTGAGACCATATTTGGTAATAATTGGTTTGATGGATGTCAGAAATGACCGTGAAATGGTTTCTTTGGTACCCAGATCCTCTCGGCTTCTGACGCCATCTTGAATGTTTAAACTCCTTATTGAGAGATTTTGGCAAAGGCGCACAAAATATTCATTTATTTAAATAATGGATTGTTTATGGTAGCTTGGATAGTCTAAAAGCTGGTAAGTATGACTAGATTCGTTGTCTTGCACCGATCTCTGCTGAAGTACTTGGCCGTCTTTCATTGTTCTCAGTTTAATAATCATCAGAAGCCACTTGCCTTTACTTGAAATTAATTCCTATTTTTCGATTTTAAAAATCTTACATTATATCAAGTAGTTGGGCAACTGCATGCAAAGACTTCTTGTAAATCCCAGAATCCCTTGTAGGCCGGAATGATACGTGTAGCCCAGGGCGGGAGGAAGGAGGGGGAGGGGGAGGGGGAGAGGAGGGATCTCTCCCGACCTGGTCTATCCCAGTTCAGCTGATCTAACATAAAAGGCGGATCCATACCGTTTCAATTAAAGGGGGATTTGGAGGATAAATTTAGAATTTAAATGATATAAAGGGAACCAATGACAAACATACACGACTTAATACTTAGTGTTTGAGCCAACCTCCTACAGGGAGTGAACATAAAACAGCAGGGGCGAGGGCTGGGCATATTCTCATGACGGTAGCACGACTTAAGGTGATTTTTCCCTGGATCATGACACAAAATATTAAATCAAATTAAGCTTGTTTGATGAAACACCGTAATAGGTCTACATCTTCAACAGTAAGCTCAAATTTCTAGTATTCGGAGCGACGTCTAAAGTCTAAAAAAGGCTAAAGTGGGGGAGGGGCCAGCAGAGGATAATATGCTATTTGACTGGGGGCCAATAAAAAAATTTCAAATCACTGTAAAATCCCCTCCCCCTCACCCTCACCCTCACCCTCCCCCTCCCCCTTCGTTA